CCGAACTCCCCGAACACCTCCACGATGACGGTCATCATTCTCGCCAGTCCTTCGGCAGACCTCGATACGACGCCGGCGTCATCGGCATACAGCATCCCCTATTCCACCCTCCGCACTCGGTCAAGTGGTGTCCTCGCCCCCGCTCCCGTCTCCTCCTCCAGGTACACGAGGTTCTTCAGAATAACATCATCCTCGCTGAATCGAATGGCAACGACCTCGATGGCCGCGGCGAAGAAGATATTGAACAGCAGTGGGGACAGCACACACCCTTGTCGTAGGCCGTGTGTGACCCAGAACCAGGCCGAAAACTCTCCGTCATCCATGCGCACCTGGGCCCGCACTCCGTTGTGGAATTGGCGGATGACGGCGATCATCTCATCAGGAATCCCGGCCCTGGCCAGGACCTTCCACAGCAGCTCTCGGTCCACCGAATCATACGCATTCTTCAGGTCGACGAAGCACATGTAAAGTGGTATTTTCTTTCTCCGCCCCAACTCCTGAAGTCGGCGCACGACGAACAGCATGTCGATGGTGGATCGCGCGGGTCGGAACCCGCATTGTTCCTCCGGGAGGATGGTGTTGGTTTCGCAGAAGGCGCTTAGACGGTTGGTGATGATCTTGATGGGGACCTTGCCTACATGAGATAGGAGCGAGATCCCCCTGAAGTTGTTGCAGGTAGACCGGTCACCCTTCTTGTACAACACCTTGATGGTTGCATCCTTCCACTCTTGGGGCATCTCTCCTCCGTTCCACACCTCAACGAGGATGTCACGGAGGTGCTCCAGGACGATAGGTTTCTCGTCGTCGACGTCGATCTTGAGCAATTCTGCAGGGAGGAAGTCATTGCCTGGTGCCTTCCAGTTCTGCAGTCCTTTCGTTGCCCGTTCCACTTCCTCGAGGTCTGGCACCGCTCCCAAGCGTCGAGTGGCACGTGTCGCCGGTCGCTGCGTCACTTGTTCGATGATGTCTGGGCTCAGGGTGGGGGACTTGGTGTTGAGGAGGGTGCCGAAGAACCTCGCCCATCGCTGGAGGATGTCGTTCTTTCTTCGGCGCAGCACGCCATTCTCGTCCACAACGGGCTGCTGTCCTCCCGCTTGTCTCCCACTGAGCCCCACTGATCTCTTGAGGTGTTGGTAGAGACCTCTCATATCGCGGTCCTTGTAGATCGCTTCGAGTTCCGTCACATATCTGTCCAGGTGGGCATATATCCCCGTTTCGACTGCTTCGGCCACTCCCTTACACGCTGCTTTGAGGACCCTCCACGATGTTGTGTTCGGCGTGTCCTTCATCGCTCGGCGCGCTTCCCGCCGTGTGGTGAGGGCCTCCTCCAATGCTGCGCTTGTCTCAGGGGTCTCACACCATTCCTGCGTGCGTCGTTTCCGCAGTTCCTCGGATAGTATAGCCTTCGCCGCTTCGAGGAGAGCATTGGTGAACTCGGTCGCCTTCTCCGGGGTGGTGGTCGCTCGTTCGCCCTGCCGTTGGTCGAGGTTGAGGAGGAACCGCGTAGTCACCTCCCATCGCGTTTCTTCGACCTGCAGTTCCCGTCGGTCGAACTGCTTCTGTTTCGGTTTGGTCCGGACTGCTCGGTTGTGGGCAAGCCAGCCACCGAGGTTGACGGTGGCTATCACCATGTTGTGGTCTGAGTCCGCCTTGACTGGGTATACCGGCTAGGGGATGACAACCATGTCAAACACTCGGCCGCATTATGCCTGCGGCGTTAGAATGTAGTCGAGGCGCCAACGGTCGGTCCCTGACGCACCGTTGTAGGTGTGCCATATTCCGCCCTTGCTTGTCTCGAAGAACGTGTTCGCGAGTGCTAGCTTGTACTCCGCTGTGAAAGTCAGCAGTACCCGGCCATTCTCGTTTAGCTCATCACGCCCGTGTATCTCCATGACGCCTACGTCCTCCTCGTCCATCCTCTCTCCCGTCCGAGCATTGGCATCCATCAGGATATACACGCACTCTTTGGAGGGAATCTTCCGCACGAGACTGTCAAGTTTTCCCCAGAACTCTGTCTTGCTCTCGGTGGCGGCGACCTCGTTTGGGCCGCGTACGCAGCAACGCAGTTGACAGCTCCGCGGTGGCCCGTCATCTCAAACCTCATGGCCATGAGGCGTTCATCAACCAAGGGTCTACGTGGAAAAACATTCCGGACACATGGGCCCCCCCCCCCCCCCCCCGCCGGAGGACAATTTCGATTTCTGTCATATAGGAATTTTTATAGGGGGCTTCGTTCACGAAAATATGCCATTGACCCCGCTACTGCGGAGGGTTTTATATCCGCGGTGCCCCTTGCGCAACTATATGGTACAAATTAGAGCCCCCAACCCCCCCCACGGACCTCCATTATCGATCACTGATAGTTTTGCCAAAACGCCCATGGGACACCCATGGGTCATCCAATGGGCCGCCCATGGGCATGGCTCATCCATGGGCCGACAATAAGCACTTCTTGGGCATTTCATGGGCCGCACATGGGCTGCCCATGGGCGGCCCATCAAGTGCCCACCGTGGGCACTTCAACCTAGAACTTAGGCACCTGCACATCAAGCTAGAACTTAGCCACCACCGCCAACTTAGCACGTATCGTGTGGGCTTGGGGTTAGAGTTAGCGTTAGAGCCATGGCCGCAATAGTGCCCGTTCCAAAGCAGATAATCTGTTGTTTAGGAGTACACTGGTTCGGTTGAAGGGCTCTCATTGGCCGCCCATGGGCTTCCCATGGGCTGCTCATGGGCAGCCCATGGGTGACCCATGGGAGTCCCATGGGTCGTTTTGGAAAACTGTAGAATGTATGGGAGACCCCATCGCACCGGGTGCACTTGAAAGCAAAGAAGCGAAGTAGGCATATTAGAATTTCCGCCCGAGGGTCCTATGTGTGCAACGACCCTGGTTTTGCTCGGCGGCCGCCACAGTGAAGAATGAAACAAGCATATCTCGACGACAACACCGGGCTACCACGTGAAGTACTCATGTCATCCTGTCGTTGCAATAGTTTCCGTGATGAGTCCTTGCTCAAATGCGTTGCTCACGCGGAAGTGTTACACAAGCCTAGCCCTCCATGTCGATGCAGGAGGATTTACCAATAGAGAGCTCGCAAGAATTTTCTTCCGTCTGTAGACTTTCACTTCAAGAGGAACCTCCACGGAGACTCGCCGCATGCTTTCAGCGGTGCAACGCAAGTCGGTGCAAACCTACTGTAAACGCCGATAGTTTCATGGAGGTTTCTGAATGAAGTCACAGTGTCACCGTTTGAAAATAGAACGGGATGAGAGTGATCTGAGGGTGAAAATCTCCGAAAGAGTCAGCCATTGTCCTCACCCTCAGGATTGAGCAACGCGGGTTCATTACATTCCGGTGGGTACTGGAGGATGTACTGTACGTCGCAGACGTTTTTTTCGTTTCCAACAAGTAGTCTACAATAGTGCACTTACTTGCCTGATGACAGATTCTAACGTTTTTGAAGTGAAATGCAAACGACCTACAGGGGTGCATATGGTTCTCAGGGGCGTGCTAGTATACCGAGTGTTCTCGTCCTTGCATTTCATTCGTGGCATTGATTGACCTTTACGACAGGAATATAGTTGCTGCTGCCACCAAGAAGGGTACGCCGTTGCGCTGCCTAGGAACAGACACCGAGTGATTCCCGACATCACGGCAACATGTTCGAGTGCTCGCTTCTCTCATTGGAACAACGGGATGTTCCCCGACACCCTACCGTACACTTTCGTGTTTCTGCGCTGCCGGTTGCATTCTTTGGGTTTACCAACGTTTCGGGTGGCCGCGCCGTCTTCTCTGGCGGGCGACCGCCGACTCAATCTTGGCAGCCTACTACGCACCACACACGTGGGGGAGAAATTCAAGTACTACAGTGCAGAGTGGCATCAGTAAGCGATCAACCCCTCCTTGCTGAGAAGCCCCACAGAAAAGTATCCAGAAACGGGAAACCCGGGTGGATTATCACCATTTCCGGGTACACTTGAGTAATCAACACGACACCAATCTCCGACAGCATCCGCCGTAGATCGCGGCGAAACCAACAAACCGCTGTGTGTCCCGTGTCCTGTGCCTCGGAAGCATGATGCACGAGGCAGCTCGTGCCCGATTTTCTCTCTCTGTGTGCCTCTCTCTCTCTCTGTGCTTTTACTGATCAGCACCACAACCGAACGAACTCGCGCGTCAAGCGAGTCCGACCCTCTGTCGAGAGGGGCCGGTATCCTATGAGGCGGTGCCCAGTGCACGGTATATGCGGTACACGGTTTTTTCTGCGGGTTTTATGCTAGAGCGTCGGGCGCCGGGATTGTATGACCATTGCCATTTCTGGGTACAAAATCGACCTCTTCCGGGTAAACCAGCAACCAATATCGGTCACACCAGAGGGTCCTAATTCCAGCGGAAGTTTTACCCGATGGAGTTTTCTTCAGAAATGGGTACGATGGCTTTTCGGCCAATCAGCTGACAGCCTGGGGGTGCAAGCGTGTTGATTTCGAAGTGTACCCTACATGGTGATAAAGTACCCACGGGTATACCCGTTTCTGGTTATAATTGGTCTTTGTATTTCGTGGCCACGGAGCCCCTCCGATAGGGGCGACGCAGACGAGATTTCGGCAGGTGAAGCAGCCGGCGGTGAAGACAAAAGAGCCGGCATCCTCGTCATAGCACCGCACCCGCGCGATAAACACACCCGCTCTACTTGTCGGGATCGGGCTACGCGTGCGTTTGGCAGAGGGGAGCAATAGGCTGGCACTGCTGGTCGGGTTTTCGAAACCCAACGCCACAGGAACGTACGCACGGCGGTGTGCGAGCGTCAGACTTTTGAAATCTCGTCGTCAGCCCATCTGCAGCAACCGTTTTGAAACTCGACCGGCGAGCGAGAGAGAGAGAGAGCGCGCAGCTAGCACAAGCGGGAGAGCTGCTGGGAAACGGCGGGAGCAAAGAGCAAGACGCGGGACTGACTTGCTGCTGCTGGTTGTGATCGAGCCAGGCAGCATCAGCAGCGAAGATGTTCTACTCTCAGATCATCCTCGCCAAGAAGGGGCCGCTGGGCAAGATTTGGATTGCTGCACACTGGGACAAGAAGCTCAACAAGGCGCAGATTTTCCAAACGAACATCAACACCTCCGTAGGTACGTGGAGTCCGGACAGGGTATCACCAGCTGCAGCAGTAGACTATGGCAGTGGCTGCAAGCTCGTGGCACGAAAAATACAAGATGTCGTGTGAAAAGTAGAGCGTTCTTTTCTATTTTCGCCGTTGTGGTACTGCTGCACATCATGTGTGCTTGGTGCTCGAACACAGCCGAGAGGCTCCCGAAGCCAGCTTCGCTCAAGTCTCGTCTCTCTCTCTTGGTCTCCTGTCGAAGCCGTCGTGCTACAGCTGGCGTAAGGCAGGACGTCTTGAACAGCAGTACATTTACGTTTGCCATGCCCGCTGAAATACGGCAGTTGTAGAAGGCGCCAAATGGCACCACCGGGAGACTCTATCGCATTATGGATGTCTCCCTTGCGCAAGAACGCCGCAGCCGTTGGTAGTTTTTTTTTTTTTTTAGTTTTTGTTTGTGCCCCGCTGCCCCTCCCGACGAGCTTTCTAGGTTTGTGAAGGTGCTGAGTGGCGCATGTCGGATGGTACTCTCATACAGATAGTTGTGGTGCACTGGGGCGGCGGGTGCTTATCGACCAAACTTTACATCTTCATCTTCTTGGGACGCAAATCGTTTGTACAGCAGCGCTTTCCAGCTACCCATACGGTGAAATGTTAACGTTTGTCCGGGGGCAATGGATAAGCAGGAGCCATGGTATGAGCCCTTGTATGAGCTATAGTATTAGCCAAAGGCCCTTCGCCTCATGCGAGAGGGGCAAGTCCACAGAGGTTCAGCCCGGTAGGAAGCGCGGCAGCAGTACAAGCATCGATGCTACAGCAGTACGTGTTGGTGTGTTGGAGTGGAATTGTGGGGGTGACGCAGACCGGAGAAACACGTTTTTCGCGGGAGGCCGCAGTACTGCTGTACGTAGTTGTGTTTCGTGGTAAAAAACAATAGCATATCTACATTACGTGTAAGACGTAACCGACTAGCTAATGAAACGAGGTTGTTTGTCTTTTGGCGGGAAAGAGTCGCGAATTCGCTCTCGACCGCCGTGGCTGCTGTACCTGATGAGTTGCATGACATATAGTACCACACCCCCCGTGGACCGATTTTCAAAGCTCGACTCCTGTGCAGTTAAAACAGTGACGGTGCTGAGAATGGCGGCATTTCGGACTCCTCGTCTAGCGCTTTCTGAAAACGGAACGGATTGTTTGATGTCGGCATCCTTTTCGTCGTGGAGTATTCGAGCTTCGAAAATCGGTCCAGGGGGCGTGCTATCTTACGTCATGTCACCTACGGTACCTCCTCCGGTACCTCTGCAGGAGGGCCGTGGAGGCTGTCTTGTATCGACTGCGCCAAATGTACCATAGCTGATATAGCGGACAGATAGGAGCGCCCGCCATATGTTGTGCAGCACAAGAAACCACGCACACGCTGTCCATCGTCAAAATGCATGTGTTGTCGTGCCTTCAAACGGAGCAGCGGAGACATGTGTGTTCGTGCTCGAAACCTGAACAACATCAGCTGAAAAAGAAGTGCAACTATTGTACTTCTCTGTACGGCCGAGTGTCGGCCGGGCGCGGGACACGGTCTTATATTCGCTTTTTCTCATGTCAGATCCGGAGTTGTCGATGTTAAGGTGTACAGCGTGTCCACCATGCTACAAGTCAGCGCTGACGTCTGTACACCTTTACAGTCGATATCCACTCCCCCTCGTCAGACACCCTGCTTCTCCAACCCGTAGTCCCCTCGAAATGCTTTGGGTGAGCAAAACGCCCAGTCGTCCGCATATTATTTTTGTCGATTCCCAAACGGCATGTAGTGTTTCAAGAAAACCACCGGAATGTCTCTATCTCTCTCATTTTGTCTCGCCCGCGCGCTCGATGCCCCTCTCGTTTCCAGTCACTCGTTGACACGCACGGCTGTAGCTCCACAGTCCTCCTCAACTCTCCCTCATTTTTCTTGCCCGCGCCCTCGCTCGTTCCCAATCGCTCTTCACACGTACGTACGGCTTCAGAGAACATCCTGCAGCCCACGGTGCCCCTGGCCCTGCGTATGTCGGGGCATCTCCTCCTCGGCTTGGTCCGCATCTACTCAAGGAAGGTCAAGTACCTCATGTCGGACGCGAGTGAGGCCCTCGTCAAGATCCAGATGGTGAGTAGGGTTAAGGTTAGGCTTGGTTGTCCAGCGATAGAGAGAGGCACGTGTAGCAGGGAGAAGGAGTATTTCCTGGTGTACAGTAGAAACCCCTCGTTTAGTGCCGGTTATGGGCCCAGAAAATGGACCGGTACTATATTGTACCGGCCACCGGTAATATTCGAAGCACAGAATGGCTTGAGAATTCAGTGTGTGCCCACCACCGGCACTAAACAGAGACCTCTCTTGTAGTGTACCCTACAGTACGTGTTTTTTTCTACTACGCCGTCGTTGGGACAAGGGATGTTGGGGAGCTTGCGACGGGGGAAAGGGATGGGAAGGAACAAGGAGACGGTTTTCGCGAGGTAGCAGTAGCACGGGTGCTGTGTTTCGTATTCTGCAGGTTGCCGTGCTGAGCAAAAATAGACCCTTGATTTCGCATCACTCTCATGACGAAGTATGCGCGTTCCGGCGGTCGCTCCAGCTGTGTATTGTAGCCAGATAACAGATAGTCCCGGCCGAGATCTTTTTCGAAATCCCGTTCTACTGCTGTACGTTGAGACAGGGGACCGCCTTCGCGAGGGCGTTGAGCGTTAGATGTAAAGCAGAGAGCGGGGTTTCGTATCCCTCACGCTTACCCTTAACCCAACGCGTAGCCCCTACTAAATCCAACCTTAGGGTTTAGTATCCTCGCGAACGCTGTAAGGCCAGGCGCCTCGGGGGTGTGGTTAGTGGGTACCAGGTACATGGTATTTCGGCATTCCAAGACACAGCCCGCATTGGACAATCTGCACTAACATGTTTTTTTTTTCCAACTTGTGTGTCGGGGTTTCGATCGGTTTTGGAAAAGGCTTTTCGGCCAGGGGCCACCGACATGCCCACGGGAGCCACCGTCGCTGCGCCTGGCGCCATCGAAGCCCAGGGCTTCGGGGAGTTCGATGAGTTGGGCATGGATGGCGTGCACGTGGACGTCTTCAGCAAGTGAGTTAGTTTATGCTGGATGCTTTAGCACTAGGGCAGGAGACAATCCTATGCATTCGTATCCAGAGACGCACCGCCAGGTGCAGTAGCAACAGGAGTAGAATTTGAAGGCCCTTCCGACTTCAGCAGGGACATCGAACGACAGCGGTAACACTGGAATATCCTGGTGATCTTCACTAGCAGCAATATCAATTACAGCAGCAACAGCAGCCAACGTCAACATCACCAACAGCAACAGAAGCACCAGCTATAAGTGCCAGGCTAGCGGCAGCAGCAGCATCATGCATGACACGGCAACCCGACATTTTTCGCCCCTCTTCTTGGCCTGTTGGTGCCGTGTAAACTCACGTTTATCTCTGGTGTGTATACATTCATAGCGCCTTTGCTGTGGACAACTGGATGGAGGAGGCTCCGGCGAATCTAGCCAGGAGGACCGACATCACCCTCACCGATCCCGCCGAGAACATGAGCTCCATCAGCGGGCAGGTAGGCCACACGTATGGTACCATGTAAAGCAAACGAACATGTTCTTGAAGGGCTACAGTAATTTATTCAATTTATTCGATGTTTTGGGTGCGTGGGTGGCTTTGGTCGTGTTTTCTCTACTGCTGGTGTAGAAACCTGCATCACACCAAAGAACCCTTCGCGACGAACTTATCTTCAAACCAAGCGTACAGCTCTGCCTTTGTCGTTGTCGTTTACTTGCCGGACCAAACAAGACGTACCTCGTTTGTCTTTTGTTTTCGTTTCTCACAATCCGTGGCGACAGGACCGGAACGGCAGCTTCATGCTGGGGGAGAGCAGCATGGACTTTTCGCCGTTCGGTGGGGGGGGCGCCGCAGGCGGTGGTGCTGGCAGCGAGAGTAGGATGAGCATGGACCGCTCTTCCCGCGTGTCCCGCGTCAGCGACATCGAGGTGCGGGTCCGGCTTTTTTCTCACCGTTGCGGTAGAGACGTTTTGGTGTTTTCTGTAGGTGGTATCGCTTCTGTGCTCATGCTGACGCCTGTCAAAACATCAAGAGATTTTTTCAGTTCTTTAATACAAGTGATGAAAATCAACCGTGGTTTCGACGTGTGGTAATCTTCTGGCTCGTGTAGTCGTTCCGGCTGTCTCTTCGCAATCAATTTGACGCTTTCCCCGGCAGCCTCCTCTCTCTCTCTGCGTAATCTGTTGTGTGAAGGTTGTCGATGGTTTCACTCCGACGACCCCTCCTCTCCGATGCTTGCCGTAGTTCGTTGTTGATGTGCGAGCGTGCTAAATAATCGCTCCTGCTAAACGCTACGACGTGTGTTGCTGCCTTGTTCCTGCAGCAGCTGCGACCGTACGTGCCCTGCATCGATCCCCTTCTTGTCTCTGATCCTATGCACCCTGGATCGATTGACCCTCTTCTCCCCTCTCTTTGGTTCACGTGTGCGTGTTGCCTACGACGTGTCTGTCTGTCTGTCTCAGGCCGTACGAGACGGCGACAACAGCAGGCTCCGCTCGGGACACCTGAGCATGAGCATGGACGTCATGGCCGCGGACGAAGGGCAGGTGAGTCCACGGAGATTTCGGAGGTCGTAGGTGGCGCTTGATAACATCCGGGCCCACGGAAACCTTCCGTTTTCGCTCGTCCTGTTGGTCCCTCCGACGGACTGGACTGAGGTTATCTTATCAAGACGTTTCTCTTTTGTTCCCCAATCTTTCTCCTAAGCTTGGGGGTGCTACTGCTGTAGTCTATCGGTCAAAGTTAAGCCCCGAAACATGGAAGACTAAAAAAAAAAACATCAACGTCAAGCTCCTACTCTTACAGCAGCTTCATGGACTATCGTGTGGATGGTGTGCGTGGACATGAGGGGGCGGGTATCAAAAACACTTACACGTGGTACAATCGTTTCTTGTTCTGGGAGGGGGGGGCGAGTTCAACCATTGTTCATGTGAGGATAGTCGGTGGGCAGATCCTGTAAAGGAGGCCTATCCCGACACACAGCAATCGATCAGGCTGCAGCCCTACGCTGGCTTTGGCAGCGTCTCTCACGTCCTCAACGAATCTTGGATTGACCGAACTACAAAGATTCGAAATGGAGAGGTGCCCGCGTACACAGAGAGGAGGCGTCGTTGTCACCCGCGTTGATGATTTTTCCTGTGTGGATGTCCTCTAACGTGTTGGATGGATGTTGCAGCACCTCGGGAGCGTCCATGTCCCCTCATGCGGGGGTGCCTTGGGGTGAGGGTAGTGTAGGCCGGTGCAGCGAGAGCGGGGGGGGGGGGGGGGGGGGGGGCTGGGACCCGCGGGGAAAACCCCCTCCCCCAGCCCCCCGGGGCAAGGGCCCAAGCGCTTTCAATTTGGCCCGGGGGTTCCCCCTGGACCCCCTTTTCCCCCCCGGAGGTAACCCCCGGGGGAAAAACCTT